TTCTAAATAAAAGAATTACACTTAGAATGGCAAAATGTCCACATGAGCATCACATCAGATATACTCTGCTTGCCTCTTACTCACTTTGGGATATAAATTCATGAAGTGGAATAATGCAGAATTACAAATACTGCTTAAGTTGCTTTTCGGTGTTGATGTTGTTTTGGTTTGTGGTTTTTGACCAAGTAGATATAGCTTAATTTGATTTTGTGAAATGAGCTCTTGATAATAAGTAATATATTGTTTCAATGCATTTAAAATTCTTGCATTACTCATCAACATTCAAGTTCATAGCTGTAAGTCCACATAATTAACTGTGAATTGGTGAAAACATATCTGCCCAAAGTCTCTCAATTTATACCAAGTCCCCAAAAGTAGGTTTAAAGGGAAAGTTGCTCAGAAAAGAATGCAAGACCTCTTGTAACATTTTAGTAGTATAATACCACAGTCATATCTATCAAATGCAATGAAATAGTGAAACATTAAATAAAATTTAGCTTTGTAACTTACACATACACCAAGAAAAAGTAATGAAAGAAATTCATACTTCCAAATCTTTCAAATAATTTCACTTTAATTGGGCCTAGAGCCCCTAAGAAAAACTTAATTGAATTTATAAGCTATAAAAAGGTTCACCTAACAGAGAAAATAAATAAATTCTTAAGGTTGATTTTGGCTGCGATGATATGGAAAGCAAATAACAGGAGCATTGCTGAGAGAGTAGACTGCACTCAGCACAAAGATAACATAACAGTAGGCTAATTAGTCCTTAAAGCCCAGAAGGTTGAATTGTTTTTTTCATGAGAAGCTCCCGGAAACAAAGGTTTCTCTGACATACTGTGTAATATGGGTGAAGCCTCCCTTCACTAATGAACACATCTGTGACCTCTAACAGCACTACTATTGTGGCTGCATCACAGGCAGAGATGCGAGGCCAGAAATGGCAACATTTCAGGAAGTGACTCCCATCCCTAGAGTCCTTGTGTGCTTACGACACAATAAGCTTTTCGTACAGTTACTCACACTGATTGACGAGAAGCAGAAGAAATAACAAGTCAAGATATAAAATCTCCTCCCTTACCAGAGGCAAGATGTTGGCTGACAATATATATGAAACGGGAGCATTATCTATAAAAGAGCCCTTATATAAGTGTGATCCCGGAAAATAACGTCAGCATCCCTGAAATGGCAAATAGTCTGGTGATAAATTCTTTCAAGGTAAATTACCCAAATAATAAAAACCACCTGCAAAAGTACTCTACTCTTCCAATCCATCTGAACAATTGTATCATAACCATGGATTGGCTCTGAAAGCACAATGCTATGCCAGTGTCCATTTTTTATTAAATAAATTAAAAGTAAAATTTTAACTAATAAATATATAACCACTGCTAGCGATCGCAAAAGAAAAAAAATCACATTTAACCACCTAATTAGATACTTGTTTTTGTGTATGTTGTGCACATGAAACTCAGTAAGACTGAGACCACGTCCTCACTACACAAAGATCAGTGTAATTTTACTTTTTAAGTAACAATAGTTTCCCTAGTTTGGGGGATTATATACCATGATATAAACAAGAACATAAGCTTTTCTTTACTAAACTCTCTAGCTCCCACCTAATCATTTCCAAAAAACAAAACAAAACCAAGTCTTATGAGATCAAAATTAAAGTCTATGTTCCTTCGGCAGGCTCTAGGGGAGAGAATCCGGTCCTTGCCTTTTCCAGCTCTCAGACACTGAATGCCTTCCTTGGCTCCTGGGACATCACTGTGATCTCTGTTTCCATCATCATGTTTCCCTTTCTGCCACCCAGTTATTTCTAACAGTATTGGGAGTATTTGATATTTGACTCTTCTTTAGTCCCTGAAGGTTTCTAACATCATCCTCTCCTGAGAAAGAAGGGAAATACAGAGCCTCTGCCCTACTTACACCGGAGGTGGGAGAAAACTACCTGCCAGACACAGCAATAGCTCTCTTGGGCCAGTGGGTGAGAGAAGCACCTAGCTAGCTCTGCGGGAGTCTCAGTGGGAGCACAGCCCGGGCACCAGAGGGAAGTGGAAAGGGACTTGCCTTGTAAGTCATGCTGAATAGGGATATCAGATCATCAGCACAGTGTTAAAGTCCTGACATTCCCTGGAGTAGCAGGCTCACACTACACACAGTAGTATCAGGCTGACCAAAGAGCAGAATGAGTAAACTTTCTTGGCCATGCAAAAGCTTATGAAAGTATTAAGTTAAAAAAAAAACAACTTTATTTCCAGTATCTCCCCATCCCTCCATGGAAATTTATTCTTGAGTGTCACTTTCTCGGTGGCTAAATTATTACTGAATGTAAATTTGGTATTGTAGGAATCATAGCAAAACTCTGCCCTTAAAGTGCCTTCTTCAGGAAGGAGCCTGAGGTGAACAGATCATAATCATAACATTTCTATTATGTTAGAGATTATTCCCATATTGCTTTTCCTTTAGGAAAAAAGTACTGCTAGAATTTTGTCTTTCTTATTTCTGCTTTTGTCATTACATTATCCTGACATGTTACAGGTTTTGAGAAATCTTCTATTGGTATTGAGAGCATATAAAAATATTAATGAAATAATAAGATTTAAATGTCTTAACATATGCAAATAAGTATGTACATGATTACTTCCTTAGTTTTTTGTTTCAGGAAACTGGTATAGATTGTAATTATGAGTTTTAAAATCTATCTTTTTTCAGAGACCTTCCAGTTAAAAATCTAAACCTAGTAATTGTTTGATTTATGTCTGTCATTTCCTTTCTCCAACTATACAAGAGAAAATCAAATATTGCAAACTACTCCACACTGGAGTTTGTTTAGAGTATTACCTCACTTTTTAATTATTTCTCATTTCCTTGAAATGTATGATAAAAATAAACCATCATCTGATTTCAATTTATTTCTTATTTTGTAACATTTTTTGTTGTTTTTAAAAGATATTTTGTCTTATATGACTCACTTGAGAAAATGTGGAGAATCTTTAACTTTATGAATTTCATTCACTCAAAAGATACTGGCGCATCATTCCAATTCCTGAAAGGTGGCTCTATGTTTTTATCCAGTAGGTGGTGAAAGTTTAATTATTTAATATGTGCCACCATTTTGAAAAGTGTGATCTCTTTTCACATTATTCAAGAAATAAAAGTATCATAAGTACTCAAGAGTGATCACTTAACTGAGGTAAAATTAAAGTGTAGCATTTTATATACATGTGAATAGTGAACCACATATATTTCTGGAAACACCATGCTTACTTTTGTTATTAAGACTAAAGGCTGTTTCCATGTAAACTTTTTTCATGATAAAAAGGTAATAGGTTGCAACATATTTCCACTGAGGATTGAGAGAGAGATAATATTCTACATTTGACTTTAACCTTTAAAATTCTAAAGAACATGACAATCTAATACACCTGAAAACAAGGTCATTTATAAATTTGCTTCTATAAATATCTTCCTGATGAAGGAAACGTGGTTGATTATTTAGTAGATCCTCTTAATGTAAACATTCTTCCAGTCCAACTCTTTGCCATAGACTATAGATGTCATTAGACTTTATAAGTACTCCTTTCGACTTTGTTACATGTTTTTGCAAATAAGAACCTTAAAACGATACACTTCCTAAATTCCATTCACTCTATGCACAAATAACAGAGGCTACTGATATCTGAGACAATATATAAATTTCAGAGAAGGTGGAGATAGTCACTCCAAGGCTTTGTGCGGCCGGAGTTTGGGTTTTCCACAGCTAATACCATTCAGAACTGTGGACAGCTCCTATCAAGGCATGGAGTTGATGGCAATTTCCCTTAACTCAAAAGTAATGCTTTCTATTGCTGTATTTGTTTGCTGTTTAACAGATGCCTATTAAAACTGCATAGTTTGCACACATACTCCTTCCACTGATTCCTTTGCGAAAGAGTTCAGTTAAATAATAAATAATAAATGCCACCCTGAGTTTTATCATTTAAAATGGAAAGCCCAACCTTATTCGGGAGTTGCAGGGTGTGCGCACGCTAATAAGAGGATCTACTTCACGACCTTCATTTGATAATCTCTAAACAGGCTTATAACCGAAAGAATACTTGGGCGACAAATAAGATGGGGAAACATCTTAATTTTAATTCTCGGAAACAGTTTCCCTGCCAGCTGACAGCTCTCTGCCCTTGTTCCCGAGCTGGGAAACGGGGAAAGAGATTTCTGAAACAGACTTGTAGTCAAGGTCAAGAAAGGGTGTCTCTCGGTTTCAGGAAGGGGGCCCTGGAAACGCCCCCTGCCTGTTTCGGGAACTCGAAGCTTCCTACCACGCTGCTGCCCGACTTAGCGCCTGTTCCACTGATACCTCAAGTCAGGGACGATCCAAGCGCAAACTGCCCTTCCTCAGCCTGCCAGCCACTATTCTGAAGAAATGCACTGAGGATGCCCAGTGCCTATAAGCAGATGAAAAACAGATTAACATTCCCCAGGGGCGAGAGCGGCTGGAACAGCTAGGACCTGTGAGTCACTGTCTCCGCTTGCCCCATCCTCTCCTCCAGCCCAGGAGCGCCTTTTTCCCCTTCTGAGGGACCCACTTCTGGGGGAAGCAGCGCGAGGAAGGGAGTCACCCCAAAGACGACTTTCTGGCCGCTTCCTTACACTCTCATCTCCGAAGTAAAAGTTTTTCTGGCACAACTTAGCATCCTCCCATCTGGGGGTCACCGTGGACTTCTTCCCCGATGTGTCCTCAAAGTTCACGAGGCAAAGGAGGCGAGCCTCCCTGGGATTCCCGGGCAACAGGAGCTCCTCATCCCACCCCCTCCTCGGCGTTAACTAGTTGAAGAGTCGAGCCAGCTCAGCCCGAGTGGAAGCCGCCGGCAGCGCCACCCCCCGCCCTCCCGGCAACCCCTCCCTCCGAGTCCCCGGGCGCCCCCTCCCAGGCGCGGGGGAGCGTGTTGGAGGGCGCGCCCGGAAGGGAGGGTGGGGCGGCGACAGGGAGTCCTCACCTGAAATCACTGTAAGGGTGGATAATCCAGAAGCCTGCAGTTTTAACCCTTTCCTGCTCCTTCTCCACCGCCTTCTGGCTCCCAAACATGCGGAGCGAGAATTTGTTGACCCCGGGCTGCAGCATGGAGGTGAACTGCCTCTGCATGAAGCCGTACTGCCGCCGGGGGCCCTCGGCGTCCTCGAAGCCCCCGGCCGGTTCCTCGCCGCCGCCGCCGCCGCCGCCGTCCACCTTGAAGCACACCGAGTTGCCGTGCTCCTTCGCGCCGGCCCCGCCGCCCCCCGGCGGGGTGCCCAGGCGCTTCTCGGCCGCGGCCGACCCTGCGCCCGTCGCGGGCGCCTTGGCGGGGAAGACACTGTTGCCATCGTCCCGGCTGTTGGACGAGGAGTTGAGCTTGCCGCCTCCTTCCATGCCCGGGGGACGCGGCCGGCGACGGCGCGGGCTCCAGACTCGCCGGCCGCCCGGCGCCGGGGGGCACGAAGCTGAGGGGGCAGGGGCCCGAGCTGGCTGCCGGCGAGCCCGGCTGCCCGTCGCGGCGGCGGCGGCGGCGGCGGCGGCTTCTGCTTCCCGCCCGCGCCGCTGCTCCCTGCGCGCCTCGCTCCCGCCGCCGCCGCTGCCCTCAGTGGCTGCGCTCCAGGCTCCGCCGCGGCTGGTGCTGAGGCTGAGGCTGCCGGAGCGAGGCGAGGCTTCGCTCAGCCCTCGCGCGCCAGCGCCTCCCCTCGGCTGCCCTCTGCTGGCCGGAAAGGGTCTCTCCCCGCCTGCACAGCGCGCACTCGCCCTCCACTCTTGCTCCACTTCTGCCCAGCGTGACATTGAACTCAGGAGCCCTCCGAGACCTTTATCTGCACAGATTGTGAGAGACTTGATATACGTTTGCACGTAAGAGGAGAGAGAGAAGCAGAGATGCAAAGAGACAGAGAAAGACTGAGCTAGCGGATGTATGTGCGGCCAAAAGAAATAAACATCCTGAAACTCACTGAGGCATCGTCACCTTGTCTGAACGCCTGTTCGAATCATGTTACAGATAGGAAAAGGGAGAGAGGCTGTCTCGGCATGCAGAAAATTCACGTGTAAAGCTAGATGTACATAATAAAGTAAGATTTGATAATGGATAATAAATTTCATGAGTAAAAGGGAAGTTGTGTGTGTGTGTTGGAAGGAGGCAGACAGCGAAAGGGACTAGGTCTGGGTAATCGGGAGTAATCAGCTGCTTGGGGCTTTTCAGATGAAGATGTGACACCAAGGGACAGACAACTGACCTCCTTACACTTGTCCTTGTTTATTCCTCCCCAGCGTCTTAAGCAGGGGATGGGATTTCTTTCTTCCCAAGGCCACTCACATCAACACACATGCAAACAAGTCTTCCAGCTGCCAACACTGAGAAAAATGTGTTAGGGAAAGCTCGCCAGAGCTGACCTATCTTTTTAGATAAGTTATGTAATCAATAAAACACACTAAGGAGCATACATGTTGGTCAGTGTTCACCTACACCTTGCCAGGAAGCCAAGATGTCTTGGAATTTAGGCAGAATGTAATCACCATTTCAGAAGGGGGAAAGTATTCTCAAGAGAGACTTACAATGTGCTAGTGATGCTGAGGAAAGCATTCTAAGATTCCTCCTATCCCCTCAGTATCTCTCAGACACACCAGATTAGTTAAAGAAAGCAAGATGTGCTGCCAAACTCGCCAATCACTCAGCAGGGCAGCTCCAGAGTCTGAGAGCTTCAAGACTCCCAAATGTCCCAAAACATCTGTTCCAGATCCAAGCATCGCCTTCCTGCCCACAGCCTCTTTGAAGGAAATCCTGCCCTGCCAAGAGTCTCCAATCCAGTGGGTTCCTGTCAGTTACAGCCACTCTTTAGGAGGAGGGAGTCTATGGCTCTCTGGCAACCAATGGCCTAGGGTAAAAAAAAATGGGTGGGATCCATAGTGGCCTCTTCCTGAAAAACTGAGCAGCAGTGAAGCCAGTTAACAATGGGAGAAGCAAGGCTAAAGACAAAAGAAGACAACTGGCTGCCCTCTCGAGGAGTTAACAGCCTGAGAAAGGAAGCAGAGAACAGAGAAAAGAGTGGAAAGCAGCAAAAACAAGAAGCCATTAGGCCTAACTGTGTTCTAATTCTGTAAGATTCCCCTTACCATTCTACTTACCATACTCTATGCGAAATCTCCTTTTTCAGTGAGCTCCATCCTGACTCAGACACCATCTGTTTTCAACTAATCAAAAACCCGAGCCCTCAGAAGTAAGTATAGGTGGCCAAATTTCAATGGTAAGAAATGGGGAAACTAGGAACAATATAGTGCTCTGATCTAGCAGGGTAGGGACTCTGGAAATCCCAGGGGTCACATGAGGATACCAGGTGCCAAGGACAGAAGGAAGCCAAAGGGATGGATAAAAACAAACACTGACTAAAGCACAGTTCTTCCTAAGAAAGGCCCGATTACTCAGGCAGCTTGTCTTTATTAGACTAAAGATGTTCCTTACTTTTCTCCTATTCTGCATGCTCCTCCAATCACTCTATTTTCAGTCATGGGTATGACAATGTATATTTTAACATAAATTTTAAATTTTATAATAATTTAAAAATATACCATCTAAAATGTTATGCTGAGTTTAAGTCAGTTTCTCTTTTCTTCTAGCCAATCCTTGTATTTGTTCTATTTCAGCTTAATCTTAATCATGACCAGGCATTTATGTGAGTCAGAATTTTTCTCAGTTTCAATGTCCATACTAAACTAATAGAACAGAATTACTTAAAACATGTTTTCAAAATACAACAAAGAAATGTCTACATAGGGTCACAAGTCATTGTTTGCTCCAGGTACAGCTTTTAGGCCACCATCATTCATTTAAACGCTCAAAAAAAAATACATTGTTTTTTTAAATTTTGAGAATGTGTATGTTATATCCATTTATTAACTTAAAAGATGTCAGCAAGAGAAAGTCAAGTTTCTTCACCTGACTTTCAGACTGTTGATTTAAAGTTGTTTAGAAGGTAGACTTAAATGAAAAAACTTACGTAGAAGTTGCAAGAAGATTAAAACAGAATGAAAGCTATAAAAGAATGAAAGCAGTGAGAGACACAGACAGACACACAGACAGAATCGGCGAATATATTTTAAAATGTGACCCAGTCATGAAACTAGACTTCTGGGGCTAGAATGGACAAATTTCTTCCATTATTTAATTTTCTCTTTTATTTCTGAACTCATAGCATGAGTTAGAAAAGTTTTTTGACCAAGTTAGAAATCAGGGACTGATTATTTGCTCGAGCAGTTTTGGGGAGATAAGAATTACAGATAAGAGCCAAATTAGGCTCTGCAATTCTTTATCTTGACACTCCCCAGCCCCAGACCTAAATTTTACTTTCCTATTGTCACTTCCTTTTCTCCATCACTCCATCCCCCTCCTCCAACCCACTCCAGACACGATGTACCCCCTAGGACATATGTACCCCCAGGACAGGCCTAATTTTGAGGATAACCTCTCTTAGCAAGTTTCCATGTCTGTTCACTGATAAACTCTCTCAGGCTGAAATCCACTGGGCTCAATTAGAATTTTTTTTTCCCCAGTCATCTTTGAGGTAGGACTACCATCATGTCTGACTATGTCATTAGATGTCCATGATGTCACAGTACATTATATCTCAGAGGAATCTGATGACTGAGGACTCATCAGAGCCTATCACTTACGGGTCGATTTCATGAGAATGCCCCATCAGTGGTTGTAACGGGTGCCATTCAGTACATACAAGGATCATGCATCTTTTAAAATGTTCTCTGTTTCCTTTAATACTCTGCTTAAGATCAAATTGCAGACAGCAGCAGAAGATTAATATGAAACTAAAATAAAATCTCTATGCAGCAGACGCAAGCACATGTGAAATGAGACAAAAAAGATAGATGGGCGGCTTGAAGTTTGACAGCTTATTGGAAAATTCTCAGTGAAACTTAAAGATTTCAAAGATAAAAACATTTTAGTTCTCTTAGTGGGGCAGAGGAGTATGTTAAACACATATTTCACACGTAGGAAAAGGTAGTCGGAGCTGTCTCTGTTGAAGAAGGCAAGGAAAAGGAATAGTTCACCACAGGCGACCTCCCACACTCTCTGTGTATCATGCACAGACAGACTCGCCTATCTACCTGGAAAGCAACTGCCAGCATCCTGCTTCATGTGAAACACTGGAGATGTTACAATGAGACACTCACACCAAGCATGGCTGCCATGCGTGGTTCTTGCAGTTGATAATATTGTCTCCCAGAAAACACAGAAGTCATAATAACTGTCATAATAACAACAGAATTATGAAAGTTGGTACAAAGTAAACATGGAAAAGTTAGACAGAAAGTGAATGGATAGAGAAAGGTATCCCATATGATATTAACCAGAAGAGAGTAGGGTAGCTATCCTAATATCAGGAGAAATAGACTTAAAATCAAAAAGGTATAAGACAAAGGAGGACATTATATATTAACAAAAGGTTCAATACAGCAAGAGGCTATGACAATTATAAACATTTACACACCTGATGTCAGACCATAAATATATATGGAGCAGAAACTGACAGAATTGAAAAGAGAAATGGATAGTTCTACAATAATAGTTCAACACTTCAGTACCCTACTCTCAATAATGGACAAAACAACCAGACAGAAGATAAAGAAAGTATAGAGGTTGGAAACAACACAATAAACCAACTAGATCTAATAGACATATGGAACGTATACAACAACAAACAGCATAAACATTCTTCTCCAGGGCACGTGGGACATTTTCCAGAATAAATGGTATGGCAGGCCACAAATTAGCCTCAATAGATTTTAAAAAGTAGATATCATACAAAGAATCTTCTCTGATCACAATGGGAAGAAGATATCCATAACAGAAATAAAACCGTAAAATTCACAAATTTGTAGAAATTAAACAACATATTCTTAACCAATGGATCAAAGAAGAAATCATAAGGGAAGTTAGAAAATACTTAAGATGAATGAAAAGAAAAACAGAACATACCAAAACTTATGGGATGCAGTGAAAGCAATGCTGAGGGGGAAATTTATAGCCATAAATGCTTATATTTTTTTAAAAAAACAAGAAAGATTCTAAATCAACAAACTAACTTCACAACATAAGGAACTAGAAAAAGAAGAACAAACTAAACTCAAAAGCTATCAGGAGGAAGGAAATAATAAAGATTAGAGCAAAGACATATGGGAAAAAAAATGAAATAGAGAACAAAAAAACCCCAATAGAAATAAATAACAAAATCAAAATTTAGTTCTTGGAGGCATGCCTGGGTGGCTCAATCAATCGAGTGTCAGACTGTTGGTTCGGGCTCAGGTCATGATCTCCGGGTGGTGAGATCAAGCCATGCGATGAGCTCCACGCTCAATAAGGAGTCCTCTTTTGAGAT